TGATGATCTAGTTCTGATGCAGCTCCCCCAAAATTTTTTTATTTTATTTTTTAGTAGTTAAACATTTAAAATCGAGGTATGGCTTATTTTCGGGGATTGCTTATATTCGGGACTCTACGGTATACTGCGGCTTACTTGCATGTAGATTTGGACTAGGTGCTGCAAAAAGGGACGAAATTGACAAAAAAAAGGTTTGCAAAAAATTGATTTTTATATTATAAATTCTACAATAAATCATAAGAAAATAAAAACTTTAAAGAATTAGACTGCAAAATTTTATTAAGATAACAGCATTTGTTCCTTAAGTGAAAATGTTTTGACTAATTTTAAAGGGAAATTCTTATTTTGACCCGGGTCAAAATGACCCTCTCCCAAAATTAGGGTTAGTGCGGACCAGAATTATGTTAATGCCGGCTGGGTTTTTGACCCGCACTAACCCTAAAATTTTGCTGAGGGTCATTTTGACCGGGTCAAAATAGAATTTCCCAAAGCTTATTTTAAAAAATTGTCAATTTCGTCCCTTTTTACAGCACCTAGCTCATTTCGTTCAATAAAAACTATTATGAAGTTAATTAAGTTAGACTCGGTTCATATTTATTTAACTCGAATTCATTACCATTATTGTTACTATTGTACATATTGCGCGTATTATTACGATTAGAGGTGCAGGTGAAACTTCCGTAACTTGCCGTAACTATCGCTGTACTTGTCGTAATTATCTTTGTAATATGGGATCTTTGCTAGGAAAATCACCCTTCGATATTTTCCGATCGTGCTAATTCGGAACATTTTAAACCAAGGTAGCGGTTCTTATTCACATGTAAATCATGATTTGCTCGGTAACTTATCAAATGAACGTTTGAACCAATAAGGAAAAAATTGATTTATATGTAAGTAAATGCCGATATATTGGTTTGAAGTTGCCCGATAGGAAAATGTCGAAGGGTGATTTTCCTAGCAAAGATCCCATATGTAATAACTATAGTGAGTTACGGCGTAACTTTATTGTTACGACAAGTTACGGCAATAGTTACGGCAAGTTACGGAGTTTCGCTTGCATCTCTAATTAATTAAACACAATTATATGCCAGAAAACAACTGGTATAAAAACTCTTATTATATCGTAGACATATATATGTCGCTTACCATTAAACCTATCACAAAACAAAAAGTTGTAAATATTTGTCGTAAAAGGACCCACGTCAAGCACCTTTGATATTTCTCTTTTACGGCATAAACTTTTCCTATATCAATTTCTAAAATGGCTTCTCAAATTGAGTCATTTTTTTCAGAAATAGAAACATTAATTGAATTTCAATTAGATGACGGAATTCAAACTCAAGAGCAAGAAATTACACAAAAATTTGCTGAAGGAAAAGCTTTAATTGATAAATTAGAAGAGGAAGATGAAGAACAACATGGTTCTTATAAATATCGGTATCATTCAACCTATGCAAGTTATTTAAAAACGATTAATAGAGTAATTGAGGCAGCCAAGCAAGAAAAGTTATTGGAAAAATATAAACGATATGGATCAAAGAGAGTAGATATCGATGATGAAAATGAATCCATGATGTTTATAAATGATAAATCAGACTGTCAATCCTCTAATTCTGGCAAAAAGGACCTAGAAGAATCAATAAGAAAAAGACTGAGAGAAGATCTTTTAGGAGAAGTAGCTATTGAACCTATCAGAATAGCTTTTGAAAATTTAAACGAAATACCGAACACCTTTGAAGATTATCATAAAATCGTCAATTATGAGAATTCTTTGCTCAATTCATTAAATATTTTAATTAATGAAGAATTAATTATTCTGGATCAATTTAATAAGAGTGATGGTAAATCAAATCAGTCAGAGATTGAACAAATAATGATGAACGTAAGTGATCGTTTAGTAGCTTTAAAAGATTTAAAAGAATTTGCAACTCAGTTCACCAGTCAAACAGTTTATCCGAGAAGGTTGGATTTTATATACAATACTTTAAATTCACCTAATAAGAAAGCTATTTTATTCAGCAACATCTTATTTACAAAAGATGGAGTCAATAAACGTTTTAAAGAACTTGCTTCGTGTTTTCATCCCGATAGTTCCAATGTTTCAAATAGGCTTCACAAAGACGACCAATATCTTAGTACAGATCTCTTTAAAATTATTCTAGAAATTAAAGAAAATCTATTGGATAGCTTGGCAAAAACTTCAAGATCCAAAGGCGAACTTGATTTTCACGAAAAAAGGGCAAATAAGCATTGTAATATTGCGAATGATTATCGTAGTGCCTATAATAATAATTGGAATAAACTAAAAATATTAAATAAAGATGACGTTAAAGAGGTTCCCCGTAGAGAACTAAAACTTTTAAGCGTATATTATGGAAAATTAGCTCACGAAGATTATCGTGCTGCTTGTAAAGTTGCAGATATAACTGGAGAATTAAAAAAACAAATAAAACTACGAGAATACATGGCAATATGTTCATACATCTCCGACCGCTTCTTGGAAGCTCAATTATACGCTTTATCAGCAATTCGATTAATTTACCAGCATTCTAAAGATATCTCTAAGGAAGAACTGATCGAAGCGAAAAAAATATTTGATAAAATTAAAGGTGAAAAGTCTCAATTAAATACAGATATTAAACTGAAAAACGATTTAGGTAATTCACAAGCTTTAGTTAAAGTAGTAAAGGATGGTGTGTCCTTTTTAGAAATGAATGCTATCCAAAGTTCTATCGACGATGATTTAAGAAAGATATCGGTTGAATTAATGTTCAAACCAGATCGTCAAATTATTAACTATCAAGCCTCTGAAAGAAATAATTTGCACGCCAAAGAACACTCTTTAAAGCATAAACTTGCTGGAGTTGTAACCATAGCCAGTGCTACATTAACTACATTAACAGTCGTAAAAATGGCATTATTTTTGCCTTTCATAGGAATTCTAGGATTACCTCTATTAGGGTTAATGTACTTCGTTGGGAGACAAGGTAACCAATTTTTAGATGAGCCAAAAATTCGTGGAAAGCTCAATCAAATTATAAAAGATGCATTAGCTGCTTATGATGAAGGAGATTATCAAAAATTTTTCAACTTGCTTTCTGAGGAATACAAAAAGGATACAAGTATCATAAAATTAAAAGAACGTTATGACAATATTAATCCTGAAAGTATAATAGATTCACTTTTAAGTCACGGTTTTAGATCTGATGGCATCGCCTATTTGTTAAATTTGATAGGTGAGGTGTTAAGTAGCGGGAAAATAAAAATTTCGGGCATAGATAGAACACAAAATGAATTACATGCGATGGGGAAACTTGTTTTCGAAGGTGTACTAAGCAAAAAACTTCTGAAAGAAGCTAAAATATTGGAAATGCGCAATATTGCAAGACTCAACCTCGCAATTTTTGATATATTGAATACTGACAAGGAATCAATTACGAGAGTAAGCAACACTATTAAAGAAATTAGAGAATCAATAAGCAATAATTATCAATTTTCTGGTTCAGCCGAATCACGCCTCGAAGTTTTAGAAGATTTTTTGTGGATTATGAGCGGTGAAGTGCCTAGAACTCCTTCAGTTTATTTTATAAAATCGGCTGAAGAACGAACAACCGAAAAACGTGATAAAAAATACATTGAATATTTAAAAGAAAAATTACAAATGGTATTCGACGATAACGAAAGAATCGGCCTTCATACTAAATTGGCAGACTGCCTTGTGAAATTGGCCGAAGAAGAATGTAAAGTCGACTTGTTAAACAGTTTATGTAACTGGCAAGATGCTCAAGAGCATTATGAAAAAGCACGTGAAATAGACCCCAAGAATCAACATGCAACACTTGGTTTTGCAAAATGCCTATTAAATTTAACACAATATAATCAGCTTATAAAACTTCTTGATACAAGCCCAGATTTAACTTCATCGGCCGAGTATTGGAGATTCTGTAGTATCGCTTGTTGTAAACAAATAGAATACGACAAAGCTACGGAATGTATTCTTGAAGCATTGAAACTAGATCCTCAAAGCATCTTAGCTATGAAACAGAAGGAACACCTTGATAGACTAAGAGTATACCGTAATGATCGTATTAATCATTATAATAAAAAAATATTTGACGTAGATAACTTAATTAAAAATTCACATCATGGTAATGATGAATCAATTTACAGAATTCTCTCGATTGACGGTGGTGGTGTGCGCGGCATATTACCAGCCTTATGGCTCAGTGAACTAGAATATCGAGCACACAGACCCATTTCTCAACTATTTAATATGATATCTGGAACCTCTACAGGTGGAATTATTGGTGCAGGGCTTTCAATGCCGCGTCAGGATTTAAGCTTAAAGTCACCTCTATTGGCTACAGATTTATTGGAATTATATCAAAACCAAGCAAAATCCATGTTTACTGGTGCATCATGGAACATATTTGCAAAAACAAAATATTTTGCAACAACAAAATATACGGATGAAGGACGTTCTTTATTATTTAACAAATATTTTGGAAAAATCTGTTTAAATGAATCACTCACGGAGTTGGTTATTCCTGCAGTAAACAAAGACAACATGCAATTACACTTGTTTACACGCCATAACTCAGTTAATGATAATTCAAATGATGCGCTTTTTGATATTCTAATGGCCACAACTGCTGCACCCACTTTTTTCTCTCCTTACAAAATGAGAAATAAGGGCATTTCGTAGATGGAGGTGTACAACTTAATAATCCTGCACTTACAGCTTACAGTGAGGCCTTTAAATATAATAAAAATATTACAGTGCTTTCTTTGGGTACAGGTAGTTAGTAATAATAATATCTTGGGTCGTTGGGTATTAGTGGATTGGTCCCAGGCAGTGATAACGGAAATACTTTCTTGTTATCTGGCATGATGTGACGGATACACTGACGGAACCATATTATTGCCCAAATAAACTTTTTTAATTAATAAATAATAAGAACTGATAATTTGAATGA